CTATGTCGTATTTAAACTAGCTTTTATCCTTAAAAAGTCGTTACGTTTCGAAAGTGAATTATTGTCAATTTATTATCGGTTGCCAGGCTTATGCATGTTTGCGATGGCTTTGGGGTTCATTTGCAATTTGGTCCTGTACCAGTTGTAAGTGTGCTCCTATGCTGATAGTGTACATGCTTTTTTTTTTCTTTTTTCTTTTTCTTTTTTTTTTCTTCTTATTTGTTTTATTATGCTTATACTCAATTTTATTGTTAATTAATATTAGTTTTCCATTAAGAGCCTATTGAACTCGACTGTTATTTGTTTAGTTGAGCTTCTAGTATAAGTGGAATAAAAATAAATAAATAAATAATATTCCCTGATTTATCTTTTTTCTGTCTGCAAAGAACCGGTAGTTGCTGGGGGCCGAATCCGGGGAGAACGGCGAATGGGGGAAGCAATTCAATTTAACCATCATTTCCATTGACTTATTGTACGGGGCGTTGGGCTGATGAAACATCCCTTCTTTCTTTCGCATGTCGGGCCGTTTTTTCTTAATATCTTCACTCAATCGATTCAAAAACACCAAGTGATATTCGTTAGTAATCCTTTGCCACTTTGCAAAATACAAAGCACGTGTTTTAGGTTTTCGACCGGTTTAGACGACCTTTACCGGCTGCTATTCAGTCAATTGACGATCTTTTTAATTCAGATGCGTTATAATGAATCCATGTTTCACCCATTGCCACATAAAGACGATTTCTCGCTTGAGCAACTCCAACCCACACCCTGAATCATTGACACATTGCTCTTTTTGGTACGGTGTAAGCAAATGCGGTATCCATATCGTACCGAGCCTTCTCACCGCTCCGCAAAATATTCCACAAAACTGATCCCTATCGTTGATACTGTGCAAAAATCATATGAGTTTGTTAAAACTTTTTCATTATATATCTCATACCAAGGACTTATTGAATAATATATTAAACGTTTGTAGCGCTCGCTGCATATACATTGTTAAAAGAGCGATACCGTCCAAGTCAGATAAATTTATATTCGGAATTATTAAGCATTTAAAAATTTTTGAGCTAATGTCTACCTACTAAGAATCGTACAAAGTTAGAACGGGTTAAACGCTTAGATTTGTACATACATTTGTCGAGGAAATTTTTCCCAAACAAGGCATAACTCAAGTTTGAGATAGAGATAATGATAGCAAACACTGATACATACTTACAGCAACGAGTAAGATCTCAAAATCCTTATTGTCGAAGTGAGCATCATTTGAAATTTTTATTAAATGCAATTAAATATTAAATAGAGTTTTTTCAAAAGCAGAGTTTAGATATTGCATCAGCTGGCCGGCCTTCCTTGATCTCTCCTTGCACTAACATCATCGTCAATGGCAATGGATTTATTAACTTTTCCTTTTCTTTCCTTTTCTTTGCTAATAAAAATATCCAAATAAATGCTTTGGTAATTTTCTGAAAAATCGTTAAATACTTTACAAGCACATTCCACTAGTACTTCTGTCAAATATCAACTCATCATTAAGCATAAAGAAAAGTCGCTATTAACAAAACCCGCAAAAAGTATCAACTTGATATTCAAAATATAGTCCATACAATCAAAAAATTCGCGTTGCTTTTTGATCAACGCAGTTGATTTCACACAAAGTACGGACCGAATCTGAAGTATGCACTAATTGACTTAAAAAATAAAATATATTTTTATAGTGCTCATTGATGGCGTGGACACATCCACCATGACCCGGGACCAACTAGAGACCTTTGCCTTACGGCTGAAAGCCGAAATGGAAAGGGAAAGGGAAGAACGCAACTATTTTCAAATGGAAAGAGATAAAATTCGTACATTTTGGGAAATAAGTCGTGGAAAATTTCGTAAGTTTTGAAATTGCATTGAATCTCATCCTTCTAAGAAAACGTCTTACTTGCATATTCGATTGTTAATATTTCCTGTCCTTTCCTTTAGAGGAAGTTACAGCGGAAATTAGAAAAAAGGATCATGAAATCGAAATGACTCAGGAAATAGCTGATTTGGAAGCCAAGCAGATTATGCAGCAAATGAAACATTTACAATTTGAAAATGCAGATAAAATTAGTCAAATACGTGCAGAGGCAATGACGCGTTTAAAAGTAGCTCAAGAAGATCACGTAACACAGCAACTGGAATTACTTAAAGATAAAAGGGAACTGCGAAGGCTACTGCGTGAAACTGAGGAAGTACATGAGATGCAGATGCAAGAACTTAAAATGACAAATGTAGAAGAAGTTCAGTAAGTAGCATCCATGTCATATTAAGGCATTTAATATATCTGAAAATAATTTTTGGTCTCGTGATATACTGAACAGAAATGGTTGCTTTATAATCACCATCGCTATAAAAAATGGGATGGATTTGATCGCACTCCGTTTATAAAACCGAGAAATATTCCTTCAATAGCCAATAAAATATTCTTGGCTACGATGTTTAAACTCTCAACCGATTTATTTATATACTATTTATCTGTTCTTCCATCTGCTGTTGAAGTGATCTGAGTCATACAAATTTAGATAAAAAGCTGGAATTACATTCTCAGTTGACTGCCAGCGATCAAATTTGAATATAAACGCGAAACGCGATGTATTCAAAAGAGTAGACATGCATTCTATCCCGATTGTTCCACCAAAAAAAAAAAGAAAGAAAATGTTGACCCACGAATACTTCAATAGCCGAGTAGGTAAGAACACCGACTATACCAAGCCAGTGTTCGCTGGCTCAAATCTCAAGTGCAGTAGAATTTTCTTTGTTCGTAGCTATAATGAGTGCCCAGTCGATAAACGCATAACGCTTACTCGTTGGGCATAAACGCGCCAGTCTGCGGACACTACCTCTCCATTTCTTTCTCTTTTCTCTTTTCCTTCTGACAATCACCGCATTACACGAATAGGTTACATGCCATGCGTGATTCTTTCATTTTTCTTTCCTTCAGTCAATTGCGTACCAGATTCGAGAGAGACGTCAAGGATATGGAACTTCTGCATGAGGAGAAAATGTTGGTATTGAAAAATGAGATTGAATTGGTCTATCGCATGCAGATGTTTGAAGTCGAGGAACGCAAAAATACTCAAATACAAAAATTAATCGATAATCATGATTCGGCGTTTAATGACATGAAAAATTATTACAACGACATTACTCTCAACAATTTAAGTTTGATTAGTTCACTTAAACAACAGATGGAAGCATTACGTAAGCAAACGGAGCGAAGTGAACGTTTAGCAGCCGATATGATACAAGAGAATCGCAAGCTTAAAGAACCTTTAGAGCAGGCTCAGCAAGAACTACAATTGTTAAGACGTAAGCTCGAGTTTTATGATCGTGATCGTGCTCAATTAATGCGCTTAAAAGTTCGCAACGCTTATGTCGAAAAACAATTGCAAGCTTTAACTTGGGAAACGGACGCTCTTTTATTGCGCAACGACACCTTGGTCAAAGAACGAGAAGAGTTGAAAGAAAAATTCGAAGAAGTTGTTATAGAATTACAGCAGAAGACCGGTCTAAAGAACGTCTTACTTGAACGTAAGATTGCCATAATGGAGAAGGAGGGAGAGAAGCAAAAGCAATTGCTTAAAGAAACAATGGACCGCTGCGTGGATACCAAGGATCCAGCAATTAGGAAATTAGATGCGAAAGCACGAGAGGCAAGTGTGGAAAATGTGCTGGAGGAAAAGAATCGTGTAATACATGAACTAAGTTATGAATTAGCGCGCATTACTAAGGCACATGATGACCTATTGGCAACCTATGAATCGAAATTGGCACAGTTTGGTATACCGAAAGAAGAGTTAGGCTTCGAGCCGCTACGTAAAACAGTCAAATGGAATTATATGTGCGGCCCGGCCGGTCTAGTGACCGAAAACCAATAACCAACCAATATATCTAGCGGTTGGCAGTATTTATTTATTTTTTTTTTTTGTTTTTCTTTTTTTTATATTCCACTCCACCTTATTCTATGCTCTGCCAATGTTTTCTTTTCGTTTTTTTAATGTCAAATAATAATAAATTTATGTATGAGTGTCTGGTTCGAACATTTAAATAAAAAACAGCAAAGAATTTACATTCGGCTTGAGGCGAATTTTTTGCTAACCATACATTATATGCAAGACGTTAGTAAACCGGTAAAGATCTATTAAGGATGAGTATACTTCTTAATTATAAATATATAATAAAAGTCGTGTCATTTTTTTTTTAAAATTCAGCGCTCCACAATCGGACGATTACGACGAAGCGCGAAATCTTGCAAGGCAAACGTGCTTATAAAATTTGATCCCTTTTATAGTTTTATTGACTTTAAAAGAATCCAGTTATTGAGCGATACTGTAAAGACGTAAAGATATGATTTATCGAATGGACAGATTATCACATTGAATGAAAATCTTTAGCAAAAATATCTTAAGCTTAGTGGGCGTAAAAGTTACATACAAAATAATGAAATGTTTACCGTCCTTCTATAGAAAATATTTCTCATAGAGCAATTGTCTCTTCGCTATCTCAACACTTTTTTTACGAGCTTCCTACTAAAATGTGATTTACGTAGAGTAATACAAATACAGCACAAACACGATTATGCATACATATGAATGGATAGTTTTTGTGGCCCTTTAAGTTTTCTACACTTTGCACTACTGCTGCGGCTGCGGCTACTCTGTTCATCCTTTTATTGTTTAATCTGCTTGGAAGTCTATTATTTACGCATTATGCTTATTCGTAGGTATGTCTATTTATATGTCCGTATGTGTGTGTGCGCAGCTTAAATAAGATTGGTATGATCGCAGTAGTAGCACGTTGCTAAGAAGTAAGGCATGCACAACTAAATGATGCTGTCTTACAAATTGCATCTGTCTTTCATCTGTATGAGGTGTTCGCTTTGTGTGGGCCTTTTTCTTGGACTCTGTCCAATAAATTGCGTTGTTAATACTACTAAAGTAAACAAAAGCCTGCAAATTTTTTATTTGTGTGTGAAGTATGTACGTACATGTGTGAATATGCATGTGCGTGCCCGTGTATATGTATGCGAATATACTTGCTATTTAACTTGTTTTTTTTTTTTTTTTTTTGTTTTAAAGCATTATGCAGTATTAAGCTTTATTTAGTATGCTGCAGAATCTTCATTATGCATAATTTTAGGGAAAGTGGTGGTGTGTTAGTCTTGTGAGTCCTTTTGTAATCCCAATGTGTATGTGTTCGAAAACTTAAGCAAAAAATATCGGGATTTATGCTAACTTGAATATTAGGGACCTCAGAGAGAAGTGAATATGAAATATTTAGTTAGTTTCTGACATTTCATGTAAAACTCAATTTTTCTTAGGAAATCAAGACCTCAGCTCGTGTTGTTTGTCTTTATACATGTATAAAATGGAAATTCGAACTCTTAACAACATTTACATCCGAATCGGGTCGGAATTTTTAATAGCCATCAATATAATATATCAAAATTCATCAAAGGTGTAACATATCTTTCCAAAAGGTTGATTTAAAAGGGTTTCCACATAAGAATACGTTAGTGTGGCTTCATCGAGACGGCCATTGAACGGACAAAGGTGAGATCAATTCGCGTGTGATAAGGTCTTTCCGACTAATCATGAAGTCGCTTATAAAATCGTACATTTTCTCGCCGGTTTTTCTCTCATTTCTCCCATTTGAAAGGTGCACCCAAAGAGGCTGCTCATAGCATAAAATTTTCAAAAGAAAAGAATGAACAGAACTACATACGAACTTGGAGCTAATGCATTTTGGAACTTTAAACGCTTTTTTTTCGATATACGGTTTCTAAAAACGGCATGAAGCACAACTGTAATAATTTTCACTGTTTTCATTCGGATTTTTCGCAAATCTTAAAAATAAAATGCTGCAATCCGCATTTAAAAACTATTTGTTAACGAAAGATTGTCATTTTATTTCTGGCCGAAAACGGAACGTACTGCTATTACTGCTACGTTAACATAAACATGTTGATTGTGTAAATTTTGCGCGAGCAACATTACAAACCGCCGACACCCTTAAATTAAACGTACCTGGCTTGAATGAATTTTTCTTAACACTTACATACGTGCTTAATAACTTCCTCGAACATTATTATCCTATTAGCCATCCTCCCACCCATCCCGAAACAATGTGAAAAATGCCCTTCTTTGTAGTCTGTTACACCGGTGTCGCTAATTAAAACTAACAACTAAAAAGATTATATTCGTTCGTGACCGAATCTTTTATACTCGTCACCGTTACCTTAAAAAGGACAATCAACAAGTAAAAGAATTAAATTTTCATGGTCTACAATATGGAGTGGGCGCGCCTTATTTTTTTCTGTTTTCAAAATAAAAGTTTTTGTCACATGGGCGTGCGGACGTTGTACGCCTGTGCTTGCAACAGTTTAAGTCATTTGCAAATTCTTTTGCAAATTTGTAGGCGATATGTTCATTCTCGTTAAAGGGAGAGTGATTACAACAGAAATTAAATAGACGGACAGACGGACATACCTAAATCGATTCAAAATTTGATGCCGATCAAGAATATATATAGTCTGTGGCGTCACTGAAGCTTCCTCCTGGGGATTACAAACGTTTTGACAAAATGAATATAGTCCGCATGCTTCGGTACTGGGTATAATAGTGTAATATAATAATAGCTAAAACTGATATGTATTGCACTATGACTTATTGAAAATGGTTACTTTTATAATAAAAATTTACTACATTATTGATACTATTATTATTATTTATTTATTTAGCCAGAGAAATTAATTGCAAGACTAAAGTTTTGAAGCACTAGCAACTAAGGCCATCGCTTTTGTTGAGAACTCTACTGTTAATCGATATCTATTACCTAATCGGTGAATCAGGTTTACTATAATTATTATCGGTACGGAGAAGGACATGTGTTTATATAATTAAAAGATAAACTGACTTTCCATTCTGCGCGCTTGCAAATGTTTAAAATGTTGTTACAAGGGCGGACAGGCTTTAACAATTGCTCGATTCAGTTTTTCGCTCAGAAATCCTAAAAACTCCATGGTGATGAAATAATAGTTTTATCTGAAATCTGGCAGGGGAGTTTCGATTGAAATGCCATATGCACATTCAGGTTAACAGAGTTGATTTAAAATATAAGAAAAATGTGTTTGAATTTCGGTAAGTAGACGTCACGAACTTTTTCTCCATCTAACATATATGTCTCTAAATAAAATGAAATTTTGAATGAATTTCACCACGTCCGCTTGACCGTGCTTTGGCGTATTTTTATTTCCTCTATTGTACGTAGTTGCCAAGATTGATATAGAGCCTTGAAATCTGCACTCCACATCTTAAGTTCATGTTACGAATACCTCAAAAAGACGACTTAGTGCCTTGTGACTAAAGCCTAGAATAAGATGGATCTTGGATTCTGTGCAGAAATCGTTCGATTGTTTTGCACGTGCTACGAGGTTATCTATAGAAAATTTGTACCGTTATGTCTGTTGTGGGTATAATTAACGAGCGAAAAACACATTTTTTCTGCTCTCTGTTCAAGATCGGCTGTGGGTGTGCCATTCTCAATACCAATCAAGAACTTCAAATATTTCTGCCAATTTTGAGGTCAATAGTTTCATATCTGCGACGAGTGTGTTTAGAAAAGACGTTGCACAGGCAAACCGAACGAAGAAACAGTAATGTAAAGTAAATCGATTGAAAATTTCCTTTCTTCCTCTTGCGTGTTGCAAACATTTTGACAAAACGACTATACGTTCTTTCCTCGGTGGAAGTTATGAAATTATGTCCCAAAGTTATACTTGCTGGCATACAAATCCAGGACTTTCTTTGCTTTTTTTGGATAAGAAAGAACGTATGAACATTGGATTTTTGTTTATGAAACTCTTCCGTAACCAATCAACCTTAAGTTTTCGACATTGCGTTTGGCGTGTATCGGGATTCGAATTAACGTAAACGCCTTATTATCAAACGTATTGTTTGTTCATCTCTCTGCTTTCAGCAGTTCTTAGTCCTCTTCCAATCTAGCTATTTAATTCTACCGTATCCCACCTAAGAAACGTGTGTTAAACTATTCAAAGCTAAGCGAACATATGCAAAGTTCCCGCGCTTCTTTATCTCTACACAGTTTGAAGCTTCAATAGCGCTGAACGAACAGATAATTGAATTTGAACGCGATTACTGCAACTTAAAAATTTAGACTGATATCGAATATAAATAAATAAACACTACACAAAACCTATATTATTACGTCCTTCAATCAACGGGTAGGAAGGAATATTAAATTCAAATGACTTTCGCGCTACACAATTTACAACTAATTCCTAAATGCATGCCTCGATGAGAAAAATTTTGTCATGTATGTAAGTCGTGCTTATGCTGTCTAGTCTGTAAATGGCACTTACCCGATTTCTGGATATTCGAGTTATTTGAAAGCGAATTGAATAACTTCTTGTCCCTTACAGTAAAACACTTTTTTTTTTTTTTTTGTTTTTGCTTTTAATTAGTTTTAATATATATAAGTATATAGTGGATTAAATTATTTATTCGAACTCGAATTGTTGTTGTCATATATATTAAGAGCTTAAACACTTAAGATTATTCTCATACGAGTTACATACATAGATTTTATAAAATGTAAAAATGTATGTATTTTAAATGAAAAGTTATTTAAACAAATGAAAAAATATTATATTTAAAATATTTGTTAAAAATTAAAAATTAAAAAAAAAAAAAAAAAAAAGAAATTCTCTTAACGTAAAAAACAAATTCACTGAATCTGTATGGAAGTAGGATGAATTAGGTATGAATATGATTATCAGTCCGTCCAATTCATTGTTATATAAGATATATGTGTGCATGTATAAATAAATGTATAAAAGATTTAAGAAAAAATAATTAAT